GCAATTTTACTTTCGAGATCAATATTGGCACTAGATGAATTCTTATTGTTCTTCGTCATCTTAAGAGAGAAAAAATATACAGAGAAAATCAGATTATCAGGGAAAGGCATTAGGAGAGATGTTTTGTGGAGAAATGGGACAAGGAGTGGAATAGAGCAGTAGAGCAGATCTTAAAATTTAAGAAGACGAATTAATTCTAGAAGATGGAGATTAATACAGTTTCACTGAACGGCAGAGTAAGGCAAAATATACTTATCTTTGTAGGCCTCTATAGCTTTAAGCAGTCGTTGAGTGTGAAAGCTGTAACGGTGACTACCTGCGAAAGACTACCTACTGCTTAGCTAGGAGCGCCATGGGACGATGCTTACACCGCGCCGGTCATGGACAGACTATAATTAACACAGCTAAGGTATCACTGGAAATAGTATTTACAACAAAATAGTATGCAACAAATTGCTTCCAACTTTTGCGGACACCTCTTATCATAGAAACAAGTGCAAGAGTTGCGTGTTTATTTTTTCTTCCCAAATGTCCTAAATCTTCAAATCCACGTATAATTTCCCTATTTGCGTCATAATGTAAACCTTTCTATAGTGACATCTCATCAAATAACAGAGCGCAATATTTGTCATTATCGTGCATTGCCTCAACCTCAACTTTCATAATATTGAGGATGCCAGAATTTAAACCATTCTCAAATGGAATTACAGCCAAAATGGACTTAAGACGTCGTACAGATGTAGAGGGAAAAAAACAAACAGATAAATATCTGTACAAACGGGAACTTCTTGTGCAGAGAAAGAGCAAAAACCTTATCTTGCAATGTTCATCGTCTCGCACTTGGGAGCTTCTGAGCATTTCTTAACTGGCTGTTAATGAAAGATTTATTAACATCATTCAAATTTTCCTCAATAAATGCAAATTTATTACTATCATACATTTTTTAAAAGTTTTATGTTTATCTTCAACACGTTCCAGCATTGCTTTTAATTATGTCATTTTAGTTACAGTGTTTCTATGTATTTTGTACATTTTTGACCTTCGTGGAGTCAATTCTGCTTTTGAAACTCCAGTACCCAAAACGCCACTTTCCTTACTAAATGATGGTGAAGACAAATGAATACTCACATTCCGCAGGTGACACAAATGATTCAAGTTGAGAATCAACAAGCTCTACAAGTTGTGGTTATGCACCCCTGTTTAGTCTATGCCTGCTTTGATTCACAAAATCTTTCTGCAAGAAATGATCGTCACACACATAAAAATTATCGCAGTTAACACCATCCGGCACTTTGCAAATACTTTTCCATGTCTGCAGAAGCTCGTGAGGTTGTTTTGGAAACTTGTAAAAGTGTGGATTTACATCAGTGGAATCCTCTTAGTAGCCTCTACAATAGCCAGGAAACTTGCAGGAATATTTAAACGTTCGTCTGCTTGATTTGTTCTGAAAATAAAGTTTAAAAAGTCACGTTATTAAAAATACGCAAATTACAAGCGAAATAGCCACATTTCTTATATACATTTACCAAACGTATAATAATTCAATTAAAACAAAAGAGACATGTTTTGCTTATTGTGTTATGTGAATGCAGCAGGCTACACGTTTCATGCAATTAATCATGAATGAATCTTTAAATTATATGCTTACCTCTAAAATGCAAAACATCCTTGTATTCTACAAAGACCAGTAAATTGAAATGAAAACTCGAAACTTTTGTGATTGCGTCCGCTAAAACAAAATAACGTGAAATGCGAAACGCACAAGCCACACATGAACGCACAGAACACGAAAGCCTCACATTAACGAAACCAACGGCAATAAGATTCACTCTTCCGCCATGTGAAAAACACATGCAGGCTGGATGTGACGTACAAAAAACAACCGAAAACCACTAACCAATCATTTCTTGATATTCTTTCAACTAGCGCTCCAAGTGGCCTGGCAGTCTGTTGCCAATTTCCCTATCTCACCTTCACCCCTGTGCAGCGACCTCCCTCGTCCGTTATGTTAATCGCAACTGGACATTTCTAGTTGAAAGTCAGCGATTATCTACATCGTCTATAAATCTAAAATAAAATGACACAAATGACATAAATTTGCATCTTTATAAAATAATACTTCGCTAAATTATTTACAATTGTCTTTATCTGTTTACCTTTCCAGTCAACCAAATTTTGCACTCTTGACATTTTTGGCATCGCCGTCTATTTACCCTTACATCTATTTTTCTTGCAACTTCCGGGCTGTGCAATATTGTGATACGGTAGATGGTCAGTATTATCAAGACGTACTTCATCACTTCGTCTTACCTCCGTATTTTCCCTTTATTTTATGACATTATGCTTCCTATTATCTTCACTAAGAGGTTTTTTCCATTACTGTGGCTTCCCGTTCATTTATTAGTGCTTCTACTTCTCTTACCCCAAAATGGAAGTCCCAAGTATTTTTTGACGCTCCAACTGTTAGTTATAGCCAAATCCATAGCTTGGAAAATCATTTTAACAGTCCACTTCCTTGTTTTAACAGATATTCTGTAAAGGCTAATTTGAAAATCTAACTTATCTACCCCCATCGACTTACCATATAATTGTATCGCCTCAGGTCTCTCTACAGTAATACTGCTGGAAAACCAGTTGTCGACTGTGATCTTTCTGTTTGTCCCTTCCACCGGTTTCACCAGTCGTGGCATTTTCATTTCGTTGACTGAAATGAGAAGAGGATTGTTAAATCCATTTGGTCTTAACTGTACCAGCAGCAAAAATACATTTTTCTTTCTAAAATTTCAAGAAGGTTGTATGAGCAAAAATAATTATCAAAATATAGCTGATGTTTTTGTTTCAAATCCTCAGATAAATGTAAAACAACTGATGCCCCCTAGTCCAAAGACCTTAAGGATTTCCCCATTCACTTCTGTTGTTGAACGCTGATAAATTAATAAAAATCATTCACGATGCCACTTTTCCCACATAATATAGAACTTTATTCCCCCAGGGACTAGATTCTACTCCTGACATATTGCTTCACATTTAATTGTCCTTTAACCCTTCAGAGGGTGCGCGCGGCGTACACCCGTACTCCTGTATAAGGAGCAGTTTTGTTAACAATCGTACAGAATTTTGACATTTAAATTATTATTTTTATAACATTTTACTATTATTTTCTTCATTCTAACACTGACATAAATTTAATACTATTCTAACACAAACTGGCATGAACGAGGCGATTCAGGTATAAAAATAAATTTTGAAGAATCCAGGACAAAAAAAGTTTGTCACATCACTTGGGAATTTTTGCAAGTGGATCAAATGTTAAAAGTTTCATAACACGGAAAACAAATATCTTTCAAATGGTCTTTGCACAGCCATTTCGTGAATTTTTCACACCATCTACGTGTAATTTATTGCGACTGTGCTGCAATCATAACAGCGACCATGGCTGCTTGGCAGCTTTCTGACTTCCTCACTCTGCTCTTCATCTCATCCTAACAACAGTTTTGTTCTAATTCTTATGCCTTTTGAGTTACATTAGGTATATTACTCCTAGCAATTTCTTCAATGAAATCTAGTCAAGTCTACTAGTGTTGTTCAACCAGTTACAACAAAGGCATGTATCGTCGATATGTTTATGAAATTACAAAATAGAACATCATCAATAGTTCGTCTGGAGTTTCTTGCTAAATTGTACTTTTGATTAAGTTGATCAACCAAATCCACTCCAATCTTGGTTCTGTTGTAAATTGTTACAATTTCTGACTTATTTTCTCATCTATTGCATCATCATGGTGGATGGTAGAAATTACAATAGCTGACTTATTCTTTCTTGGACAGTACGAAATTAATGTAGCCCTTTTGAGAGCGAAAATTGGATGAGTGTTACGTCTTCGTTTTGTTTGACAAAAACTCCGATGGGATTTCTCTTGTTTTCCCGCCCGCTCGGTTGTTTTCCAACATATACTTCGAGATTGTAAGTATAAGCATCTTTACATCAACTAGAGTAAATACCTTGATGCCGTATTTGGCTGGTTTGCTTTGTATGTATTGACAGGAGAGTTGCCCTGGAAAGCCGCTGGCTGTTTGTCCACTGTAACAGCCTCTGATAATTTGCAACCATTTCTTCAAATAACTCTAATTGTCGCTATCTTGTCGATGTTCCGACACTTCTGTCCCTCACATCGTCAAATCTTAGAGTTCTCGATAAAAACTAAATCTCTTCAGACTTATTGACAAAAAACTTGTTTCTATACCTGAGCCTCTGGAATTGTCCTATACTTCGGGGAATTTTTCGTGAAGTTCCATGTGATCCAATAAGAAAAAGGATTCCTATGAGAACTCTTAATCTCCGTATCATTCTTCGGTCTTGCATCTCTATCGTGGCTGAAACATGATCTTATCTTCTCAGTATAAATGTTAGTATATCTGGTAAAAAACAACTTATCATTTATAAAGAGACGTATACGCTCAGTAAGATCAACTAGCCCTTTGGAACTTTTCTTTGGTCAGGGTAAATGCAAAATAATGTGACATGGAATAAACATTTACGCGTGGATTCACCATATTCTAAATTGTCTTTTTGTGTTTTGCGACGAAATATCACATTAGTAACGGAGTTTGATTCATTCGCATCTTCATCTGACTCGCTTTGATCGGTCTCTCATTTGTGATTACTAATTTCACGAACGTCTACACTTCGTCATCATTGTCATTCTAATCATCTGATTCATTTTTCTATTTCCGAAAACCACGTGCGATTGACGTCCGCATCCGAAGTCTTTTCTTGTAACTTACTTTGTTTAGCAGTATTCACTTTTCAAAATAAACACAATAAGAAAATAAAATAATGTACTCCAAACATTGATCAGTAACCATCTTTTTCACACTTTTCTTAATGATATTACAAAGTTGTCATTGTAACATATTCTATAAAACGTCTACAATTTGCATGTATATTGTAGAGTCAATTAGTTGTTTGT